CCGCCGCCGCCGCCATGTCCTCCATGATCTATGATGATACCACCTCCTCCGCCGCCGCCGCCGCCGCCCCCACCATAACCACCTCCTCCGTGGCCACCTCCAAAACCACCGCCACCGCCGTAGCCTCCTCCGTGACCACCACCATGATCTACGATGATATCTCCACCTAAAATAAATTGTTTTTAATATATTATTTATTTTGATATCGTAAATATGATACAAAAAAAAGAAAGAGAAAAAGAGTGAAAGAAGAAAGAGAAAGGAATTTTTTATTTAAGCAAGATAAAAATAGAATAAATTTCTATTCATGTTTAAAATAATTTACATTAAAATAATTATTAAGTGGAAATGTGTTACTTTAATTTTATCTCTGTGAATTTTCTTAATGTATTTTATCACGATATAATGCATTTAGTCATTAATCACACATATTAATTGCTTAATAAATAATACATAGGTATAGTGTAATATTATTTTTCTTCCGGCGTTTCTTTTCCTGAATATCTCTATCATTACAAATTCATTTCATAAACAAAAAAATTAATACTTTGAATATTATTAAAAAATAATAACATTTAAAATTAGAATGTATCTTTCATGCAATTTCTCCTTACCTCCGCCAATATCGTCGTGACCACCTCCAAAACCTCCTCCAAAACCTCCACCACCTCCGTAACCTCCACCATCTCCATGACCTCCTCCATGATCCCCTCCGAAACCACCTCCGAAACCACCGCCTCCTCCGAATCCACCTCCATGGCCACCTCCTATGTCTCCAGGACCGGAGACATCAATGTGATGATCATCACCTCCGCCGCCTCCACCTCCACCTCCATGACCTCCTCCGCCATGATCTTCATATTTTATGATATGCTTTTCATGTTGCTGCGTTACCTCCGGCAAGTGTATCCTTATATGCACACTGAAATATAAAAAGTGTGCTTAAAACGAGGAACAGCACGGTCCTAATTAACGTACTTTTTAAGATGTCGGTAATTACAGATATGTGAAGAATCTTATTTCTCATCTTCTTTCACTAATTTCTACATGAATTAATTGCATCTTGAATAAATTAATTACACACAAACGTGTAATTAATTACGCATGAGCGTTTAAGTAGGCTGCTATAAAATGATATAAATTTATTTTATTGGTATTTTCCCTATTTTTAATTATAAAATTGAATCTAACATTCTGAAAACATAATTCCTCGACGGATGTAGTAAATTTTACTAATATTTTTATGATTGTGGGACTCACTGCTCATGTCCAAAGGTTGCGAAGCCTACTGATAGAATATTTGCAAGAATGATGGCCTTTATCTGCAATTAAATAAGTCTTCTTAATAATCCATTTAACAGATTTTTTAATTTCAGCTATATGAATGTAATAGATGTATTGCTAAATTCGGTATCACATAACTTAAAAAACGTATTTTAGTTATTGTTTTCCATATTGTTTCCAAGAATTATTTATGAGTATTCTTGTATTACAAAAATCGGAAAGCTTACATATATAATATTGATTTACAATATTACTCTTTCTTAAAACCTGAATAGTTATTCTCTTCTTCTTTTATGTATTTTTAGGTGAAGAAAATAAATATTAAGTTCTATTACATCTCTCTCCACAAATGTCAAAAAATTAAGGATTTTATAAAAAAAAAACTGAAAATTGAACAATTTATAAATTTTTTCTTATACTTTACGAAATAAAATACAAAAAAATCATCATTTAGGTATTGAGAATTAAAAACCTTATTAATGGTATTTTTTACATTAAATATTGTTATTTAATTTTAAACAGATTTTTTATTATGCAACAAAAAAAAAGAATTAAAAATAATTGTTAAAGCAACAATTCTTAGTTACAATAAAATTTTTTAAATAATCAAATTTTCTTTAATAACAAAAACATGCATTATATACATACTGTGTTGAAAATTTTTATTATAATTAAGTATAATTTTAAAGTATACTTCAGATTGATTTCAGAAAATTATTTTTTTTGTATAAAAAAAGATTTGCTCTTATATCAAATTTTGTTGTTAATTATTAATTTCGATTTACAACTTTAAAATTTAATTACTGTAACACAGAAAACTGTTTCATTATATATTATTCTGTACTTATTAAGTTAAAGTTTCTAATTATTATAATAGGTCCTTTTTTAAGCGAAATTATAAAACTGTCATTCACGCGACTGTAGATTTGGATGAGAAAAAATCCACTGAACGAAGACACTTTCAGACATCGATTGCACGTAAAATCTTGAATCCTGTATTCTCAGTGAAACGTTTGACGGTTTTTGTCCGTTTAAATATCTTACAGCGTATTTGATTTCCATTCTGGTATCCAGGACGCTACCGGATCTTGAACTTTTTCCTTCCTCCACAGCTCACCACGGCGACTCGGTATACACTGTCATATATTTGCAGCCGCGGTCTTACCTGTATATATACCAGACGAGAGGAAATACCGGAAGAACGGAGTGGGGATGAAATAAAGATCGGGTACCACCACATCGGAGGTACTCTCGGAAGAACACTCAAAAAGAAACCGACCGCGCGATGACGTACAAAACTGGTGGGCATACCCCCTCGCCGTATACCCGAAGTACATGTACCAGATGATGCTTACTACATGTAGGCCCATAATGCGTTTCTGTGAACAAGAACAACCGTGACCCAGCTTGGTCCTAGAGAAATTTACGGTTGAGCTTTCTCGATTTTGCCGACATATGTATATCGATATTTATGATGATTGATTGCCACTAGCTATGTTTTCGGTAATTAGAACATATGCAGTGTATAGTGTCTTACTAGTTTCTACAGCTGATACTTCACAATGTTGTATACCGAATTTTATAAATGAAAAAGAAATGAAAAAAAGCGGAGAAAAGATTTTCTTTCATGATTGTCCTGATCTTCTTATTATACTAGTCTGACCTTATTTCTGCGCGAGCAAAAATTATATTTGTATATTAACTGATTTGTAGATTAATCAAAGATATTGCTGGTGCTTTTTTTCTCGGGCTATATTATTTAAGAATTCCATTGACAATTGGCAATTCGCGATAAGCGCATTGCAATGATTGATCTTTATGATTTATGGGTTTGGCGTGGTATGTGAATAGACGTAGATAGAAAAAGTATTAATATCGATTCAGAGAACTATTACTTCTATCGGTTATACACTTTCCCCGATCTCCAGAATAAAATGAGCTAGAAAATAGAATATTATAGACAACTCGCATATCACTTTATGATTCCTGCTCAAATATTTCAGTAATAAAAAAAATGCATGTTTACATGCTGCATAAGAAAACGAAATCTAAACATATGTCTTTGATCTTTATTATCGTGAATCCATTTTTATAGATAATAAATATAGATAATAAATTATTAATTTATTTATTTGTTTGAGTAAGTGCAGGCACAGGCCAACGAATGAATATAGAAACTATAATAAGTCATAATACGACGCAAAATCACCACTTACAAAATTTTAGTAAAATCTGTTAACAATTTTTCTTAGTAGATAATATTTTAATTCCCCTGCACAAAGTTGGCATCGGTGTGTTGAAGCCATACACAAATCATACATCTTTTTCGATATATAAATCATGCGATATAATAATAAACATTAACTCTTTTCGGTATACATTATTCATAAAGTATTGATTGTATGGGAACGGATATATTCTTTTATAAAGTATCTATTTAATAATGTAACACAGAATTATATACGTTTACACACACAGATATGATTTAACTTATCAGCAACGATCACTTATCGTTCGTTACGCTTATCGCGTGAGAGAAATTAATTCTATCTATACTCTGATTAAGCAACTGTATTAATTATACAGATTTTAACTGATCACGGATATCAATTCACCACAAACTAGCATAAACGCGCATGTAACGTATAATCAGTGTATTATAATATGTATATAGATAACACAAACACAGCATACAGTTGAAAGTAATTTAGCTCTGATATAATTATTCTTCGAAGATTCTGATAATAACATATTTATATTTTATCTTAATTTTAAACTCATTCAATTTTAAATGCAATTCTTATTATATATATATATATATATATATATATATATATAAGTGTATATTATTGTAAAGTTAAAAAGGTTATATATGAGTTTGAAGTTAATTGCATACTACTTCAAAGGGAGAATAAATTAAAAAAATAAATGTTATCATGCCAGCTTTTTGCTGATTAAATAATAATTATATAAAAGAATTTCATCGTTTTGCCTCAGAATGATTCTCTTTCTATTTTAATAATTGATCAGATCTAAAAAGTACACTGAAAAAGAATTCCCAGTGTCTATTGAATTTGTGTTATTAACATAAAATTAATGAGTTATAGTAAGAACAATAGATGTAATAAATTTCAATCCAATTTGAACTTCAACTTTCTCAAATCTTCACATTTCATTGCTGGTGTACAGGTTATTGCCAACTACAATATATGCGAGTATACATTCCGTTACATTCGCAACAATGAACTAACAAGTATATCTACTCAAATAACTCACTATTTAATTGTTGGGAGATTTTTACTAATCAACCATGTGAAAGCACAGAGTGAAAAATTATCTCGTACCTCTCACAGTAGCGTTAATTATCGCGGAGAATTCCCTATACAAGACGTTTTAGATACTCAAACCATTGCACTATATTTCCTCTAAATATCTTTGTGCTAATTTTTTATTTTTTATTAACAAAATCGTTTAGAGCCATAAATCGTAAGCTGCAAAAAGATTTTCAAAAAACTGAAAGAGCTAATAAATTGTAATAAATGATATATCTTATTGCAAAAACGCTATCTTCAGCAGATTTAAGGATTTATTTAATTTAAAGATTTTTTCGAATGATTGATTTTATAAATATCTATATTAAACCTATATTAAGAATGTTGTCAGAGATGACACTATTAAATTGATTTCTTTAAACGTATTTTTTTAAATATATTTTTGAAGTATTATTATATGTTTTTTTTTATCATAGATTTTAAATATCCATTATACATAGGCATGTTATTTAAAAAAAAATAATTAAATATCTTTTTATATAAAAAACAACATTTAGACTGTTATAAACGTCAAAAACTAAGTAACGATATTTTTTTCACATTTTTTCTTGACTAAAAAGGGCTTATATCTTAAAAAAATTTACAGATGAAAAGCGATTTATTAGTTTACAACAGTCAATTAAAAATTTCTGATTCTTCAGTCGCCATGTCTACGTTGTCTACCTCGTACAGTGCGTTAATGGATCTCGTACACACGTGTACATCTCGAGCGCATAGATACTGTCGGGTAAGAAAATAGAAAGTAACAGGAACACGCGGGAGGTAGAATAGGGTGCAGGGAAAGGAAGAGTAAGTGAAAATAAAAGGGTGAGAGCGACCGAGTGTAGTGAACGGGAAGAGACGGAAACGCATACCGCGTTGCATTGAGAAAGACAGCTGCTTGTGGCGAATAACCGTGAGAGGCTCTCTCGACTGTATTGTGCCGCTCCTTATCCTTTCACTCTTTTCCCTTATCATATTCAAGCCTCTACGGCAAATTCCGCGACAAAATGATTGCTAGCCGCGGCGAGCACTCGCGGAGACTTCCTTTTGCCACGAATTGCTGGCCTTGATTCCATACAAGCTGACATTGACACGGTATCTCTATTATATCATCCATCAATTCAATGCTCGAGCACGTGCATTTATTATGATTCAAGAAGAATACAATTCTACTCTTCAATCTTAATAGAGCTTCAATTTTAACTTCCTTAGCAAAATAAAATTAATAATCTAAGCAAAACATGTTTTCTTGCATCTAATCATTTATGGCTGTTCTATAATGTGCTTTTTGTTTCCTGTTTCTTATCTCTGTTTGTCTCTTGCCTTTTTGATCAAAAAGGCAAAAGAACTGTAGAACAGCCATTAAGATTCAAGAATTGATATCGATGCTATTCGAGAAAATATACGGAAAACTCTCTTTTAATTTCTAAACATTCTTTTATTTTACACTTTTTACGTAGGTAAATAATAAAACTTTTCCGGTAGAAATGATTTTGTCGTATATGCTTTCACTTAGACTGCATTTTTATATGCATAGAAATACGTGAAATAACATTTTTAAATGTATATAAGTATATATTTAAAAATGTTATTTCAGGTATTTATCACGTATAATATCAATTAATAAGGAAGTATTTTTAGTTAACGATACTAAAGGTTTCTATATGTATTACAACGATATATGAAATGATTAGACTGTAAGAATATGATAGATTGTATCTCTTACGTCTTATTGCTAATCATGCACTGTTAAATTTTATGGGGTCAAATATTAACTCAACGTGAGTCGCCACTGCTCCTACTAAATATATAGTTATTTTTTACTAAAATAATAATTAAATTTGACACTATATAATGTTAAATTGATACTGTATAGTGACAAATATAACCATTGTTTTAGTAAAAAATAACAATATTATTGAGTAAGAGCAGTGGTGACTCACATTGAATTAATTTGACCCTATAAAATTTAACAGTGTGTAATGCCTGTCGAGATATTTATCGAGATATTATCCTTAAACAATAAACCGTAAAAATTATTTAATAGCAAATAAACAATGAAGTTCTTTAGACAAGTATATTCTTTTATGTATTCGCACTATGCCACGTAAAAATATGAATACTACTTCTCTTTTACAGCGGAAGAACCGACGACCGTTCCATGTATTTAAACTCTCTACTATTATACGATATAGCTGCGTGAATGTTACTCTCTTCAAACAAACCGCATATTAACGCTAAAAGTACTGATTGTGAGTGGTCATTATTGACCTTTCTATTAATATTAAGTATTGTATATTTCTTTATGAAAAAAAGATAGAATTTTAAAATTTTTCGACTTTTCTATAATTATGTTCTTTATACCTATTGATGAAATATTTGATTTTTCGTCATTTTATTTTTATAGTAAATAATTTATTCGCTTGATCTTTTTCATGACTAAGAAACATCGCGTCGGTTCTTGTAATGCCAACGAGGAAATTGCGCAAACCATTTGTAGGAATTAGCAATTATTGTACATAGATGTTCGGTGTTAGTCGAAGCAAACATTTAAACGTATCCGTGAATAAATATTTCCGTATCTTTATACTTCATGTCTTTATTTATCTTATACGTGATTTATTATTAATATGTTCGAAATATATTATTGCAAAAATTTTCCTACAAACGTTGCGTCTCGATTAAATGATAGAAATTTTATCCGCTTTTCGAACTTCCTCCTACTTGCATTAAATGATGCGCTACAATACAGCCTTCATCTATGTGATTCATCCGACAACTATCACTTTCACACGCTTCCGCAAGAAACCCTGGT